AAAACACGAACAAACCATGTAAAGGAAAATTATTCTTTTCGATAACTTTAAGTCAGTCCAAAATATACAGTCTTTATCGCCAACTCGCATTAACCGCCCTTCCCGAGAAAAAAAAGCTGAAGGCTTCAGCATTGACTTATAGTTACTAAATTAACTCTCGTCCGAGAAAATGTGAATTAGCTTATTGGATAGAATTGTTAACAGACAATTTACTCGTAAAATATAGGTGCAAATTGATTTGCAAAGGTTGATCAACAAGTCCCACAACAAGGTCAGTTGTGGCTAAACAGGCGAGTGATACGTTAGATTTGGTACAAAGTTGACGGTTGGTTTTCACTGCCACCATCACCAAGATGTTCAGCAAAATGACGAAAGGACTGCTTATAGCGTTCACGGCGATTCTGAAAAATGATGAATACAGCGCGAAGCTCGGGAGAAAGTCTCTCGGGAACCGATAAAGGAAAATATGGGACTGAACCACAACTGTCTGATCTGGTATTGATTGTGGTGTAATTCATGCTTCCTGGATTAACTCAAACGATTTCCGTTCCTCATGTTGCTCAAAAATGAAAAGCTGTTCGTCTAGACAATTTGACAGCTAATTGGTTTGTGTTTCAAATAAATTCAATTTATGATTATCTTATCGACTAGCATTTGCATCTGCATGACAGTATTGTAAGTAAGCTATTGTATCATATTTTATAGTTAGTTGTTAGTATTAACGTAACTTCAAGTATTATTGGTTTCCATAAAGATGAATTCCACTTGAATATACAGCTGCAGCAAAGCAATTTAAGAAGATGCTACGAGTAAATCGAATATTGAGATTTCTGTCGCAAGCGCTTAGGTCCAAGGGAAATTTGGATTAAGCTCTAGTTTAGGCTCGAAAAGCATTCAGATTCTTTCAGACGAGAGTATATTAACGAGTAACAAGTAAATGCTGCAGCCTTCATATTTTGATGACGAAAGTTAATTTGGTCGCTTCAGCATCATTTGTTTGAATAAAATTAGGCGGTTAGCAGCGGACCAGTTGTGTTTCACGTTAATGAGTTTGTGATTAATTAATTTATCGACTAAAATTAACGTTTAATTAAAGGCAAATAAACTTTTTTGTTGTATGACTGAACTGGTCGGCGAGGAGGAAAAGGACAATTCTGATTAGCTTCCTTAACGGTCTGAATTTTGCAATACGGACCGCTAAGATGGACCGCTCACGAATCAATTTCGGCGAATTGCTTTTTAAATTCATTTCGCAAAATAGACAGTTTTTGATTAACCAGAAATCGGTTTACCTTCATGTACGTTTTGAGGACAATTTTAGGTAAATGTTCACAAGAGCGACCCGAGAAACGTTTATTGAACTCGCTTGTGGAGAACTATTTGTCTCCTTTTTATTTTTGTCAATTTTATCGAGCGCGCCTGCGATTCGGTCCATAAACTTGCCAAAAAAGAAAAAAAAGATCTTTACCTCTTTTAAAAATCAGGAATTGCTCTCGAATATACCGCTGAAATCCAGCAATTTAACAAAGATGCTTTTATCGAGTAAATTGTACGTTACTAATCCTATCCAAAAAGCTAAACCGCAACGACGGGATTTGGACCGAGTAAAAACAGATGACTTACAGTTTACGCACGAAACACATTTCTTCATATTCTCTCGCACGAGGGTTAGTTTACTAACTACAAGTCAATGCTGAAGCCTTTCCTTTTTTTTCCCGGAAAAGGAATTAATCAAAGTTGGCGATAAAGGTTGTAGAGTTTGGACGGATTTACAATTACCAAATAAAGAATCATTTTCCTTTTGTTGTTTTGCCCTGTTTTTAACGAGGGTTAAACAGCAATTAAAGGAAGGCTTCCGTGTTAATGGCCATTCTGGATGGGGATATCCAGGGGGGACACTTCTGAGTGGGGCTTATTTCCAGATTATGATTAAAATTAACGTGTTTAGAATTTATTGATGCCTTCGATCTTCTTTTACGTTACAACTCGCGACGTTAACTGACAATTTGACTTAGAACTTTCAGAAATTGTTAGATCTGTTCCCCATTCTTTCCGCTTTACTCTTGTGCACATGATTTCAATTTACTTACAGCTAATTACGTCATTCATCAAGTCGATCTTTGATTTCTAGTCGTATCTCATTCTGACAAGGTCATAGTAACTGGTATATGATTTTTGTATTTTTTTGTCTGAGTTTTCACATGGTCAGATAATCTTCAAAAAAGAGTTTTTACCCAAAATTTTTGTAACGTCTACGACATGAAATACGCCGATAACTGAGAATGACTGTGAAGTCGGCTTTACTGAACAGTTTCTTCATATTTCACTTCTGACTGTGTCTCCATAAGTTTCCATTATCGGTTCAATGTCTCATTTCCTTGTTCCACTTCACCCTCTCAGCTAACCCGGTTTTCTCCTTGTTCAATAGTGGCTACAGCTTGAATTTGTTTGGGTCCAAAAGCATTCCTTTCCAGCTGCTCGGCTTGTGCAAAAGTTTTCTTCGACAACAACTGAATGAAAGCCACGTGGAAAGATCTTATTCTAACAGCGTAAATCAGTGGATTAAACAACGAGTTCAGTACGGGCAATAAAGTAATAAAATGAAACATGATATGTTTTACATTAATAGTGATGCTGTCACGGTCTTTCGTAATGGATATCAAAATCACAATAATGATATTTGCCGGGAAATAACACAGGAAAATTGTGAGCAGAACAATAATTGTGCAGTAAAAAGCTTTCTTATTCTTGAGTAACTTCTCCTTCACTTCTACAGAAACTTGATTAGCAATAATTTGTTTTTCGTTGCGGCGGATCTCCCTGTATACAGAAATGTTAAAATAAACGAGTAACGCAAGAAAGATAAACTGCGTAACAAGAACTGCAAATTTTGAGACATTTCTTATGTTCGCTGGCCAGAAGTCTTCCATCGGAGGGGTGATCGCGGCAACCCACACCAGACCAGAGGCTACGATGATACGACCTCCAGTAACAAGGTTTTCGTATGCGAAAGAGTGTTTTATAGCCAGATAACGTTCTGCACTCAATACAACGAAATGATTAAGCGACGCTATGACACACCTTAAGGTAATAGCAACTGTTATTTTGTCCACCCTGCTGCAAATTATGTCAGTCTCACCTTTGAGCATAAAGCTATGGTAAATGATTTGCAAAGGTTGAACAACAAGTCCCACAACAAGGTCAGTTGTGGCTAAACAGGCAAGTGATACGTTAGATTTGGTGCGAAGTCGACGATTGGTTTTCACTGCCACCATCACCAAGATGTTCAGCAAAATGACAAAAGGACAGCTTACAGCGTTAATGGCGATTCTGAAGATGAACACAGCGTGAAGCTCGGGAGAAAGTCTCTCGGCAATCGGCAGAGGAAGATATGGGACTGAACCACAACTGGCTGATGTGGTGTTGATTGTGGTGTAATTCATGTTTTCTGGATTAATTCAAAACGTTTTTCGCTTGCTCTAGTTGCTCCAAAAATGAGAAGCTGTTCGTTTGGACAGTTTGAGAGCTCATTTGTTTGTGTTTCAAATAAATTCAATTTATGATTATTTTATCGACTAGTATTTGCATCTGCATGCTATTGTATCACATTTTGAAGTTGCTTGTAAGTATTAACGTTAACTTTAAGTATTATTGGTCTCCAAAAACCGGAATTCCATTTGAATATACAGCTGAAGCCCAGCATTTTATCAAAGATGCTTTTCACAAGTAAATCGTATGTTGAGAATTCTGTCGTAAGCGCAAAGGCCCAACGGAAATTTGGATTTAGCTACAGTTTAGGCACAAAAATCATTTCTCCAGATTTTGTCGGACGAGAGTTTATTAACTAATCACAATTTAGATTTTGATGACGAAAGTTAATTTGGTCGCTTAATTCAACTTCCTTTGTTTGAAGAAAATATGGCGGTTAGCGGCGGACCAGCTGGGTATCACGTTAATGTGTTTGTGATTAATTTATCGACTAAAATTAACATTTATATCAAAGCAAATAAGCTTTAGTATCATATTTTGAAAATAAATAAGGTAATTTTCATTTCTATATTTTGTCTCCATAAACGGAAAAGTGGTATGTCGAGCATGTATATATCACTGTTTTCGCCATGCCTAACTTTTTGACGTTGGTATATTTATCTGATAGTTCTCATCTTTTAACGCCTGTGATTTCCCCTTCTCTTTTTAACCTGTGAATTGCGCAAGCACGTTACGAGTTGTGGCGGTGGATCAGATTATGAAATTAGGATTGGTCGATCATCTGTTAACTTCCTATCGCGGTTCCACTGTTTTGCAGGGACACATATTTTTTGGCATGTCTATAGGACAACGTGTAACACATTTGCGAGTGTTGTGTTAAAAATGGAACTTTTAGTTCAAATAATTGAAATTATTAAATGTTGTTAAGACTTCTGGCTAATTTTTTGAACTGGGACAGTATTAATGGCAGCTTGATCTCCAACGTCCTCAGATCTAACACGGTGCTTACCTATTGAAGGCTTTCTTGGACGGTTAAGTTTTATTGCTGGGTTTGCCGAGCCAAACTCCTGAAGAGTGATTCATTTTACTGCGTACAGTTCCGAAATTGTTTAATTGTAATTCATGTTTTCTGGATTAACTCAAACGTTTTTCGTTCCTCGTGTTGCTCCACGAAATAAAAAGCTGTTCTTGTACAGTTTGACAGCTAGTTTGCTAGTGTTTCAACTTAACAAAATTAATGATTATTTTATTTATTAGAATCTGCACCTGTATAACGATATGTAAGCGTGCCTATTGTTACACATTTTGAAGTTGATGGTAAGAAATACCGTACATTAAAGTTAACTTCCAATATTATTTGCTTAAAAATCCGCAATTCCATTTAAATGTATAACTGCAGAGGTCAATTGTTTGCAAATTTTTTGTCGGGCAACGAAGACGAAGCAGTCATGGAAAATGAAATTCAAGATGAAATTATATTTTGTTATTGCTGTGAGTTTGTCCATGAAAAGAAAAATTTCGAGAATTCCTGATTATTTTGATGTGATGTTCTTACAGCTACACCCATCAATTTAGGAATAAATCGTAAGTTAAGAATCCCGATTGATTGATTGATTGTGGTGTAATTCATGTTTTTTTGGATCAACTCAACTTTTTTTTTTTTTCGCTTGGTCTTGTTACACCGCGAATAAGAAGCATTTCGTGTGGACAGTTTGACAGCTAATTTATTTATGTTTTAACTAAATACAATTTATGAATTTTTTCTATCGACTAGAAAGGGTATCTAATGATGCCATTGAAATTAAAAGTGCTCGCAAAATTTGGCCTTTGCTCGAATTGCTCGCAAAAATTAGATAATTGCTCACTTGCATGTGCTCGCAAAATTTTTACAACTGCTCGCATGCTTGGATTATCGTTAAAATTTTCTGTCGTATAGAGGAAGCATAATTTGCATCTTGGGAACAAAAATTGACGCTGGAAACAATTTTTTCCCGTATGGCAAAAATGAGAGACGTTGGGGAAACATGCACGCTCTGTGACTGTTTCTGGAAACATGCTCAACGACTCCTTTTATTGAAACTTACGCGGGTAAGAGTTCTTCGCGAAAGGCACCCGCAAAGATAGAAAGTAATCCAGAATCATGATGACATGAAGAATATTACTATCACCATTCGACCTTTAGAGCTTCTCACAGCTGTATGGCTGCAATTGGCTAGATCCTGGAAACCTTCAAATGAAGCTTTATAGCGCTGAATCTTTTTGAGGTTAGTGGAAAACCAGTTTGTCGATGACCATCGAAACCGAAACTCGACATGAACTCTCGTGATTAATGAAACCATTCGCTCGACACGGCGAATCAAATTTGGCTCGGATCGAGTTCGAGCGAATTTGATTAATAGAGGCGAACAGACAAAGGATTTGTTGCCATGCTCCACAGCGCGCCACTCGTTCTTTCATCCAATTTCGCGCAATGCATATACAGCGAAGCCTCTGGTTGTAATATTAACTATTTAAACTTTTTTAACCAGGCAATATATGGTTGGTGATCAGGTTAACCGCATTAAATTATTCTGTCAAATGCTAAACGGCTAATACACCACAAACACCCACAAATTGTGCAGCAATTACAGATTTGTAATCTGATTTATCAACAATGGTAGAATCCCATCTCTTCAACTGGTGAAAAAGAAAATGGTGTTAAACATCGGCCATCTTAGTGGAATATGGCCGCCATCTTTAAACAAATCAACAAATTATTATTTTTTTAAATTCAATTTTTATATTTTAATATTTTCTTAATTTTACTAAATCTTAGGTGAATACATTTTATTTTATATTTTAGTCTCCCCAATTAGTAGAGCACTTTTGCTCAGCTATTAAGACTGAGACTTAAATAAAGTTGTCATTCATTCATTCATTCATTCATTCATTCAGATTAGCACAAGCACCATGACGCCACCGGAAATTAGAACCCCATGTACTGCTGTGTATTTCAGACTCCTATAAATCTCGTAATGTAGACTAACATGGTCGTTTTTTGGACTTTATCCTCTTTTCGACAGGTGAAAGAGATAGGATTCTAATATTGAGAGATAAAGTTCCAGGCGACAGTAGACTATTTTGATGTAAAGACAAAAACTAGCAAGGTACTAAGAAAAAACGTTATTAAACCTGAGATGTTGGAAATCGTTCCATGATGACGGTTATATTAGACTGACATGGCCAATGTTTAACATCACCCTCTTTTCTACCCGTTAAGAAAATGGGATTCCAACATCGAGAGATAAAAATTTAGGTGAAAATTTTATATCTTAATATTCAAACAAAAACTACCAAGCTATTACATAAAAGGTTATTGGCCCAAAAGATTTAAACTTCGTTTAAAGATGGCGGCCATATTCCACTAAGATGGCCGATGTTTGACAACATTTTTTTTTTTCATCAGTTGAAGAGATGGGATTCTACCATCGAGAGATAAAGTTTTAGGTCACAGTTTTATATCTTGATATCCACACAAAAACTACCACGCTACTACATAAAAAGTTATGTGACCAGAAAAGTTGCACTTCGTTTCAAGATGGTGGCCATATTCCACTAAGATGGCCGATGTTTGACATCATTCTCTTTTTCACCCGTTGAAGAGATGGGATTCTGCCGTCGAGCGATGAAGTTTTCGGTGACAGTTTATATCTTGATATCCACACAAAAACTACCAAGCTATTATTTAAAAAGTTATTTGACCAGAAAAGTTGCATCCCGTTTCAAGATGGCGGCCATATTACACTAACATGGCTGTTCTTTGACATCATCCTCTTTTTAACCCCTGAAAAAAATGGGATTCTTCTACCGAGAGATGAAGTTCCAGGTGAGGGTAGACTGCTTTGATATAGAGAGAAAGAGTAGCAGGCTGTTAAGAAAAACGTCATTAGACCTCAGATGACGGACTTCGTTGCAAAATGGCGGCTATATTACACTAACATGGCCGATGTTTGAGATCATTCCCCTTTTTACCCGCTGAATAAATCGGATTCTCCCATCGAGAGATGAAGTTTTAGGTGACAGTTTCATATCTTGATATCCACACAAAAACTACTAGGCTGCTAGATAAAAAGTTATTAGACCTCAAAAGTGTTCCTTTGGTTCAAGATAGCGGCCATTTTACACTAATATAGCCGATGTTTGACATCATTCTTTTTTTCACCCACTGAAGAGATGGGATTCTACCATCGAGAGACGAAGTTTTAGGTGACAGTTTTATATCTTGATATCCACACAGAAACTACCATGCCACTACATAAAAAGTTATTAGACCAGAAAAGTTGGACTTTCTTTCAAGATGGCCATGGACTAACATGGCTGTTGTTTGACGTCATCCTCCCTTAAAGTGATTGGATTTTAATATCGAGAGATGAAGTTCCAGGTGAGAGTAGACTGTCTTGATATAGAGTGAGAGAGTGGCAGGCTGCTAAGAAAAACGTCATTAGATCTGAGATGATGGACTTCCATATTTGACTGATATGGCTGTTGTTTGACATCATCCTCTTTTCCACCCTTTGAAGATATGGAATTTTAACATCGAGAGATGAAGTTTTAAGTAACAGTGTTATATCTTGGTCTTCACACAAAAACCGCCAAGTTATTGCATAAAAAGTTAATAGACCAGTAAACTTACAGTTCGTTTCAAGATGGCGGCCATATATGACTAACATGGTGACTACTTTTATCTACCAGTGTGACCCGTTTCTCGAAGTGTGACGCATTTTTCCAAATGTCACCCACCTTTCTAAGTGTGACCCGTTTTTCCACGTGTGATTCATTTTTTCAAGTGTGACTTATTGTGTTTCTGCGTAAAGTGTCTCGTTGGGGTTTGGATTTTTGCACAGGGTTATTAATATACAATGTTAATTTACTCATTAAAAGGATTTCAGTTGTATGTTCAAGAGGAATTCCTCATTTAAGAGGCCAACTTTATGATGCTGTGGAAACACTCGCCTACGGCTCGTGTTCCCACAGCATTTCTCGTTCTCCCAAACTTCCACTCGTGTTTCTAAAACTCCATAGAAACACGGTACGTGTTTTCTATTTCTTAAATAATAGATATTTAAATTCATTCCGTGTTGTTAGAGATTCAAGTTTGCAGCTACATTTTCCAAATTTCCGTTCTGCGTTAGCTTTTTGGACAAATTTCTTGCACAAATATACTCTAATTGACAGTAAACTTTCACAAAGATCTTTTCTCTAGACTTCATACTTAGAGCAGAAATGAAACTGTTTACCAACGCTGTAAGACAATCTTGACAGATATAAGCCGACCTTTCCTTAACTTGAACTCAAGGAAGTACGTCCGAAAGATTGAGATCCATACTTTCTCCGACCAATAAATGAACCGACATTTACAAGCTGCCATTAACACTTGCCCTGATTAACAAATTAACCAGAAGTTTTAACAACCATTTAATCTGAGTTAATCATTTGAACTAACAGTTTCATTTTTTAGCATGTAACACTTAGATTCACGTAACACGTTGTCCTAGAGATGTCAAACAATATATGTCCCCGAAAAACAGTAAAATTGCGATGGGAAGTTGACAGATTATAGGCCAACCCCTAATTTACATAACCTGATCCACCACTTCAACCCGTAATTTGCTTGCGCAAGTACGGGTTAAAAATGGAAGACGAAATCACACCCCTTATAAAAGGATGAGAAATATCACAGTGAAATACGCACATCACATGGTAAGCCGTTGAAAAAAACAGTGATATATACATGTTCAACTTAAGTTACCAAACTTCCGTTTATGGAGGCGAAATGTAGAAGTGAAAATTTATTTTTTTGGCTAAATATGATACAAAAGCTTATTTGCTTTGAGTAAGTGTTAATTTTGGTCGATAAATTAATCACAAACTCATTAACGTGGAACACAACTGGTCCACAGCTAACCGCCTAATTTTCTTCAAACAAAGGAAACTGAATTTAGCGACCAAAATAACTTTCGTCATCAAAATGTAAAAGCTTCAGCATTCACTTGTGGTTAGTTAGTAAACTCTCGTCCGACAAAATCTGGAAAAATGCTTTTTGTTTCTAAACAATAGCTAAATCCAAATTTCCGCTGGGCCTCAGCGCTTACGGCAGAATTCTCAATATACGATCAACTTGTGAAAAGCATCTTTGTTAATTGCTTGGTCTCAGCTGTATATTCAAGTGGGATTCCGGTTTTTGGAGACCAACAATACTTCAAGTTAATGTTAATACTTAACAACCAACTTCAAAATATGATACCACAGCTTACTTACTGCCATCCAGATGTAAATTCTAGTCGATAAAATAATCGTAAATTGAATTTATTTGAAACACAAACAAATGAGCTCTCAAACTGTCCACATACACGAACAGCTTCTCCCCATTGTTGGAGCAACTCGAGGAAGCGAAAAACGTTTTGAATTAATCCAGAAAACATGAATAACACCACAATCAACACCACATCAGCCAGTTGTGGTTCAGTCCCATATCTTCCTCTGGCGATTGCCGAGAGACTTTCTCCTGAGCTTCGCGCTGTATTCATCTTCAGAATCGCCGCTAACGCTGTAAGCTGTCCTTTCGTCATTTTGCTGAACATCTTGGTAATGGTGGCAGTGAAAACCAATCGTCGACTTCGCACCAAATCTAACGTATCACTCGCTTGTTTAGCCACAACTGACCTCATTGTTGGACTTGTTGTTCAACCTTTGCAAATCGTTCGGCATAGCTTGATGCTCAAAGGTGAGACTGGCATACTTTGCAGCACGCTAGCCAAGATAACGGTGGCTATTAACTTAAGGTGTCTCATAGCGTCGCTTGATCATTTCGTTGTATTGAGCTCAGAGCGTTATCTCGCTATAAAACACCCTTTTGCATACGAAAACCTTGTTACTGAAGGTCGTCTCATCGCAGCCTCTGGTGTGGTGTGGGCTGCCGTGATCATCTCTCCGGTGGAAGACTTCTGGCCGGCAAACATAAGAAATGTCACAAAATTTGTAGTTATTGTTATGCAGTTTATTTTTCTTGCGTTAGTCGTTTATTTGAACGTTTCTGTATACAGGGAGATCCGCCGCAACGAAAAGCAAATTATTGCTAATCAAGTTTCCTTAGAGGTAAAGCAGAAATTACTTAAGAATAAAAAAGCTTTTCACCGTACAATTACTGCACTGCTCACAATTTTCCTGTGTTATTTCCCGGCAATTATCATTATTGTCATTTTGATATCCTTTATGAAAAACAGCATCACTATTAATGTAAAACAAATCATGTTTCATCTTCTCTCTTTATTTCCCGTACTGAACTCGTTGTTTAATCCACTGATTTACGCCGTTAGAATAAGATCTTTCCGCGTGGCTTTCATTCAGTTGTTGTCGAAGAAACCTTTTGCACAAGCCGAGCAGCTTGAAAGGAATATTTTTGGACCAAGACAAATTCAAGCTGTAGCCACTACTGAACAGGGAGAAAACAGCGTTTGCCGAGAGGGTGAAGTGGAACAAGGAAATGAGACATTGCACCGATAATGGCAATTGATGGAGACATGTGAAGAAATGGAGCAGTAAAGTAGACTCTTAACTTTTAAAAACCCTGAACGAGAAAGAATGAGACATTGAATGCTAGCAACTGCGTTCAGGGGAACAGTTGAAAGAAAAATATGAAGAAACGGGTCAGTAAAGTCTTTCTTTCTTCACAGCGTACGTCAGGCCGTTAGTATAGACGTTTCAAAAATCTTGATTAAAAACTATTTTGTGAAGATTATCTGATCATGGGGAAAACTCAGTCAAAAATACAAAACATACCGGCCGATATGACCTAGGACTAGAAATAAAAGATCAACTTAATGTATGACAAAATTAACTGTATGTAAATTGAAATCATGTATGTACAAGCGTAAGTCGGGACGAATGGAGTACAGATCTAACAATTTCTAACAGTCAAATTGTCAGTTAACGTCACTAGTTGTAACATAAAATGTAATTTAAAGCAAGATCGACATCATTAAATTTTGAACACGTTAATTGTAATCTCAGTTTTAAATTGTGTGACACCCTATCTGAGTGTTTGGTAACTTTCACAAGTTTTCCAGTTGTCTAAAGTAAAACAAGACAATTTTAAGTGTAAAGCAACCAGAGACAGGAGGAGCGCAGCGACAAACAAAACGAATTAAATTAAAAACAATTAAATGGAAGCGTGTAGAGATTTCAAGATTAAAAGCGCCAGATTAAAAGAACATTACACGTTCAGGATCCTATACCGTTTATTAAAAATACAATGTAAAGTTATTCTTAATCTTCTTAAAGTTGCATTAAAGTTCTCCAAAAAAAACAAACAAAAAAATCACTAGACGATCTAAAATCTAGAATCTTGATCGCAATCTGTCAGTAAGCCCTACTCAGAAATCTCCCCCCGGAAATCTCCACCCAGAAGCCAGTCACCCGGAAACCCTCCTTTGGCCCTATAATCCTCGTTAAAAACAGGACAAAACATGAAAAGGAAAAGATTCCTTTTTGACAACTCTAAATTAGTCTAAAATCTTCAATCTTTATCAACAACGTAACTTTTATTAACCACAGTTCCCGGAAAAAACTGAAGGTTTCAGCATTGACTTGTAGTTAGCAAATTAACGGCTCGTGCGAGAGAATTTGAAGAAATGTGTTTCTTTCGTAAACTGCAAGTCATCTGCTTTCACTAACCCCAAATCTTCGTTGGAGTTTAGCTTTTTGGATTGGATTATTAACTTACAATTTTGCAATGACCTATCCTACTCCACCACGCACGCCCCACTCCATTTAAAACCAACACAATATATAATGAATGATATTTGTTTAAAGCAATTCAGTGTTGTAACAGATTGAATTTGCAACTAAATTGTCCAAATTTCCGTTATGCAGTTGCATTATAAGTTGTCCTAAAGATGTCAAACGATATATGGTCGTACAGCAATACGTGGAATCGCGATAGGAAAGTAACAGATGATCAACAACCTTATCTTTACCAACCCCTAATTTGCATAACATGATCCACCACTATAGCGCCTTACTTGCTTACGCAATGCACGGGCTGAAAAGAGAAGCCGAAATCACCCGCGTTAATTAAAGGATGAGAAATATCAGAGAAATGCGCGCATCACATGGTAAAGCGTTGCAAAAGTAGAGATTATCTCAACCTGGAAATATTTATGTCCAGCATATACCGAATTCCGTGTATGGGACAGAATATAGTAATAAAAATTACCCTTTCCTTCTTCCTGGGCGACTCACCTCCTTCAATTCTGAAGATTCTAGTGAGCGTATAAATAAAAAACTACAAATTAAAATAAGGCTAAAATGCTATAATAAA